TACTAGGGATTGAACCCAAGCGTACTCTCACTGAGCTACATCCTCAACCACTTTTTAAGTAATTCTAATTGATTGTGTACTAGGGTATAAAGCAACTCTCAGTCCAAAGAATCATCATCCCACAGACTCTGTTCTCTGACTACAGTGCATTTAAATTAGAACTCAGTAAGATACAGATCAATTTAAAATCAACATACATTTGGAAATGTTAAGGCCTTCTCTAAGTAATGCATAAATCAAAGAAGAAATCATAATGGAAATTTTTAAATGATCATGAAAATTGTTGTCTATCGAAACTGTGAGACTCAGTGGAAGCTTAAAAAGTTGATCATCTACTTAACAGAGGCTGGGAAGGTTAGAGAGAAGGAAGGAGAGAGAAAGTTTGGTTACAGGGAACAAAAACAGCTAATATTAATGGGACAGTAGAGCAACTAGAGTTAACAATAACTTATTATCTATTTCAAAGTAACTAGAATAGAGAATTTTTGAACACCAAGAAGTGATAAATTCTTTTTTTTTTTTTGGTACTGGGAATCGAACTCAGGGCCTTGCACTTGCCAGGCAGGCACCATGCCTCTGAGCTACATCCCCGGCCCCAAGAACTGATAAATTCCGAGGTGATGAATATGCTAATTACCAGTTGATCATTGCACATTCTATACATGCATCAAAATATCATACAGGCCAGGCATGGTGGTGCATGCCTATAATCCCAACATTCTGAGGCAGGTGGATTGCAAGTTTGAGGTCAGTCCTTGGAATTTAGCAACTTAATGAGACCTTGTCTCAAAATTTAAAAATATAGCTCAGCACCTATGGGGGAAAAAATAAGAACCAAGGTATATCATGTAAAGGTACAAATTCCCAATGATGAATGTCAGCATATTGTATATGTAAAATGTACCAATAAACTTAATGAATTTTTTTAAAAAACTAAAAGAGCCAAAGTGGCACCTCTACTAAAATATAAAGCCTTGAAAGTTTAGCAAAAACATTAATAAGCTAAGCTCCAGTACCAAAAATAAATAAATAAATAAATAATAAAAAATTTAAAAACAGAATAAACCCAAAGGAAGTAATAATCAAGCTAAGAAGAAAAATTATTAAATCAAAGCAAAGAGGCAGAAAAAAAAAAATCAACAACGTGAAAAATTGGTTTCTTGAAAAGACTAATAAAACGGCAAACCTCCGGCAAGATTACTCAAAACAAAGAGATGTCACCAAAAATTGTTATTAAAAATAAAAAGAACATATTTGCAGGTCCAGAGAGATTAGAAAGGTAGTAAATACCAGGAATAGCTCCATAGAAAGGGACAGATCATTTCAACTTACCCAGACTTTTGGAGAAAATAGAAAAGATAGCATGAGCCCCAGCCCATTCCGTGAGGACAGCATAACCTGCATTCTGAACTCTCACAAGCAGAGTATAAGAAAGGAAAATTATAGGCAGATTTCACTCAGCAGCATGGACACAAAAGTCCTAAACAGAGTAGCAATCTGAAGCCAGCTTTGCACTAAATGATAAGATACTATGGCCAAGCTGGGTATCCCTACAACTGCAAAGATGTCTTAATATTATGAATCTGTAAGTCTATTCATCACATAAAAAAACTTATTGAGAAAAACATTACCTTTTTTATTTTATTGTAAACTGACAATTTATAATTGTATGTATTTATGGGGTACAAAGTGATTATTTTGGGGGTACAAAGCGTTACTATTTTTTAACACAATCAACTTAATTAGCACCCATCACCTCAAATGCTTATCATTTTTTGCAGTAAAAGCACTTAAAATTTACTTTCAGTAATTTTGGAAAGTGTAATACACTATTACTAGCTCTCTGTAGTGGAGTATTTGTTTTTTGTTTTGGGGGGTTTTTTGGGGGGTACCAGGGATCAAACTCGGGTCCTTGCGCTTGCAAGGCAAGCGGCAGAAGCACTGAGCTAAATCCCCGGCCCTTTACTAGCTCTCTTTGATAGATACAGAAGTATTTAATATGCTTTAATACTTACTTTTTAAATCACAAATGGTAAATTAGGAGGAGAAAAAAAATTCTTAAATAATAAAATGTTATCTATCCAAAACCTCTTCAAAATTTTATTAATGGGAAATTAACATTCCTTTTAAAATAATGAAGACAAAAAAAAATAATGAAAAGACAAAGACGTTTTCTATCACTCGTCTCTTCAAAGCCAAACTGCCAGTCCTAGCCAGTGAAGAAATATACCATACAAAGATTAAAAGAGAGCTCCCCGCCTCCATCCCAGGCTCCTAGGGCAGTGATGCTCAGCCAGTCCCAGGACCCGGAAAGAAGCTCCCCCGCTGCCATCCCAAGCTCCTAGGGCAGAGAAGGTGAGCCGCGTGGGCTCCAGAATCACCCCCCTCCCCCGTGGAAATGAGAAGACACATAAACAA